GAGGCAACACACACACTACGTCGAGTCGGCTTCTCTTCATTTTTCTTCTTCTTCTCTCTCTCTTTCGCTCGACCCGTCTTTTATGTATATAAAGCACCCTGGTCTGCTGCAGCAGCAGTAACGCAGCCACCTACACAGTTGAGATTGTTACTTTACGACGCGAGCAAAAGAAGAAGAAGAAGAAGAATGCAAGAAGAAGAGGAGGAGGAGGAGGATTGAGAGCTGAGAAGGAGGATGAAAGACGCGAAGAAGTTATTTCGAGAGAAAGGTGGAAGATCACTTTCAAATTGTTAGATTTAATTCGGCCCCGGACTCGCTCGCTCGCTCGCGCGCGCCGCTTCTTTCCTCGCTCGGGGAATTTTGCATCGGGGCTGCTGCTGCTGAGCGCGAAGTGACTTTTATAACGAGCTCTGTAACTTTTGCCACCCGAACGATAGCTTATGCATATATAACACGCGCATTTAGCCGGAGAGCCCGATAGAAAAAGTTTTGTTGTATATCGGGGGGATAATTTGCATGATCAATCGTTGTCAGGAAATAGCGCGGCACATATACTCGAAAAATCGAGAGGGAGCAGAAAAAAAGATCAAATGGAATGAGAATTATACAAGTGAGTGAAAAGATCTGCTTAATAATCCTGTACTAGCCGCAAAAACCCATCAGCGCGAGGAGAATATCTTTCATCTTCGATTCACACCTGCCCGAGCACATTTCGACTCGAAGAAAAGGAACACTAAAAGTAGCACGCAGTGGCTCGACTAAAACCCTTACGGTCGATCTACTTTATTTAGAGATCAGCGAGCGCGCGCGAGTGGGACATAATCTGCTGTAGGTCGAAAACACGAAATCCCATTTACAGCTCCTAATAAAAGAACGTCAAATTCCGGCTACCACGCATTTTTTCCGTAAAAGGCGGAATTAAAAAATAAAGGAAAAATGAGAACCTGCAGCGCCCACGCGCGTATAATGCATGCAAAGTATGTATATCCACTCACAGACATACAAAAATTCAAGGCAAATAATACAGAGAGCCAGAAAAGATCCTTTATAAGCTGGGAAAATCATACTTGCGGCAGTTTCACGCTTCCCTTTTCATACGAGTTAAAAAAAAGACCAGTAGCTGCCGTTTCTTTCATCATATCGAAGAGTTTTTGATATATATATAACGCAGCCAAGCCACGGAAATTCTCTCGACTATACTCCATATTCTCTCTCTCTCTCTTTTTATACTCGAAGAAACTCTGATAAAAGTGTCTTATTCTTCTACTGCTACTGAAGCTTGCGCGAGCGAGCGAGCGAGTGCGCGCGTCTGTGCGTATAATAACGTTGTAGAAACGATGAAAGTTTAATACTCCGTGGCTTCCACGGAAATTTAATATCCTCCCTTGCCAACCTGCTCTGGATGGTACGTATTATTATTCTTCTTCTCCTTCTTCGTCCTCGTCGTCGTCGTAGTCGTTCTTACTTCGTCGTCGTCGTTCGTCAAAGTGTTAGAGAGAGAGGAGCGGAGGGCCGAGCCAAGAGAGAAAGATAGATAGACAGGCTTGCTTATTGCTGCCTGATGAATAAGTTTTTCTCTCAAATGCGGCTGCTCTGGTTTTGTTTCTTCATTTCGCGCGCGCGCTCGCCTCCATCTCCTCACCTTAGATTAATTTTGAAAATTATGCGACGAAAAAAAAGAAGAAGAAGACGAAGAAGAGGGAAACGCGTAGAGAGAAAAAAATTGAAAAATTAGACGTTAAAAATGTAGACATCAAAGTCAGCCGATCAACGCGACCCAAATGGCAGCAGCAGCAGCACTGCACACTGGGTCTTTTTAACGCGCGCGCTAATAACGCGACGAACAATCAAAAATAAAATCCTTACGTGAAATTCGGCCCTTTTGAAATTTCTTGTTGAGCGCGCGCGCGAAAGAAGAATCTCTCACCACAAGGTGCACACACGCACGCAGCAGCATACAGAAAAAGTGAGAAAAAAGAGAATTATGGAAGCGCGCGTCAAAAAGTCAAACGAAATAACTGTACGGTAGCTTGTGTATGTGTGTGTGTGTGTGTGTGTGTACGAGCGCGTGAAGTACTTAAAATTCTGGACAAATCTGAAAGTCTATAAGGGCGTTGGTTGCGGAAAATATAACCGTGGCAGAGAAAAGGCAAAAGCGACAGAGGGAGTGAGAGAGAGAGAGAGAGAGTGAGTGAGTGAGCAGCACTAGAGCACAACTGGTAATAGGGGAATTTCACGTCAACGCACGCACCATCATCTCTCCGCTCTCTTTCTCTGCATACATACACCATACGATGTGTATGCGTATTACACACGTAGAGAGGTATAAAGATTTTGACGCAAAAGCTAGAGGACGAGAGAAAAGCCGACGACAGACAATTGATTGTAACGCGTCGAGCGCTCTCCCGTACGTTCTGTATACGTATATATTTTTATACACGTCGCTTATATATACACACGTACGATTGTTACATGCGAATAATACGCGCATATATATGAGCGACGGAAAGTGCCGACGCGTCGTAGTTGTCGTCCACGAGCAGCGGCAGCAGCAGGAGTTCTCTCTCTCTCTCTCTCGATGCGAGATTTGATTTTTATATATAAAATCCAGCGGGATTTAAGTGAATTTACGTACGGTGAAAATGTAGCACGTGTAAATATACACACATAATGCGGGCACTCAAAATATACAGGCTAAATTTGCCTCGTATTATCGAATTATTCAATGGGTATGACGTATAACACGTGTAAATGGTACGGGTTCGTGAGAGAATTTAATAATTAATGTCCACATATACAAAAACATTAATCGGCGTCGCGATCGAATTGCTAATGACAAGGATTAAACGCCGATAACGAACGAGCGTACCGCAGAAGAAAAAAAACACGCGGCCAAATTAATTCGCATAATTGCGTTAAGCTCGATGGCGCGTCGGCGCGCATGTATATAGCCTGGGCAAACAAAAACCAAAATAAAAGAAGAGCCAAACGGTCGGAAAAGACAAATGAACGCGGAGTTCCGTATACGCGCAAAAGTATTAGAAGTCTCGGTATATCTAATCCAATCAAGCCCCATAGTATACAAAACTTCGCCGACGACAACGAGCGAGTATAAGCAGCAGCACTCGATCTTTGATCCGCCTCCGACTGACCGTATAAAGTACATATAGCCCTATATTGCGCCACCGCATCCCCCTCGTGTGTGTGTTTATAAAAGTAAAAGCTCGCTCGCTCTCTCGAATCTGCGAGGCAAACTGCGGTCGATTTTCTTGCGCGCGTGTGTGTGTGTGTGAGTGTGAGTATATATTGTCTCCTCTTGGGTCGTACAGGAAACACTGAGTGTTTTCCACGACCATGCGTTATCACTGGCAACGGCGGTGGTGGCATCGCATATACACGCGCGCATACAAACACACAGTGGTTTTCCCCCGTTGACTTAATTGAGAGAGGTCACGCGCTAGCTGAAGCTCCGGCTCGCAAAAAAGCTCGCTTTCTCCCTTGCGAGCTTTTACCGCAGTTTCACATCTTTTCTTTCTCTCTCTCCCTTTTTTTTTCAACTTCTAATGATCGTACCAGCTATACGCTCGTGTCGCGTCGTCCGAGACTTGAACTTTTTCTCTCTGTCTCTCTACTTTTCTTCTTTTACACGCTGAAGAATAATCGAATAAAAAATGTTTCCTCTTTCGAACTACAGCACTGTTACGACTGTGTGCTGCTATTATAACAACTATCCTTCTCTTTCTCTCCGTCATTTTTTTTAATGCGTATATATGACACTTGGATTTTTCAGTTATATTCTCTTGTCTCGTCGCCGAGTGCGAGGGCAAGAGTAGTAGTGTATACTGTATATACATCGAGGAGAGCCACGCGCGCGCGCGCACATCCATCTATCCTTGACATGCTATAGGAAACTTTTGTAATACGTCGCGTATACTACTACCACGACGACGACGAACCAATCTAAAAGTTTCCTTCGTGGCGGTATAACACGGCTGGCAGAGAGGATCTCTAAACTCATATACCCAACAGTGAGTGAGAGAATAATGTAACATAGATATATAGTAGGAAGTTTTTGCAAAATTTCACCGAGAGACTCGCGCGAGAAGGAGCGAGAGAGAGAGAGAGGGTGAAAGAGTACAAGGAAAACTGCGTATACGTGTGCCTACGAAGTGTTCGTGTTCCATAGGAATATAAGTGTGTCAGCGCGGCTATGCTGCTGCTATATTACACACTAAAATGCTGCAGCAGCCCGAGGGTGCGAGAGAAGAAGCGAGTATTCGACGGCGTCAAAGTAGACGAGCAAATATTTGGAAGTTATGAGCACGCGAGTCTTATATGTGCATTACGCACGTATATATACGTGTATATAAACGCGCTTGCGGAGGCGCAGAAAGTGCGAAAGAGGCAAGAGAAGAAGAGAAAGAGGCTTTAGTTATTATACCATCCACGTGCGCGACGACCGTCTCTCTCTCTCGAGGGTACGCTCTCGCGAGCGAGCGAATGTGTATACTCTGTTTCACCGACGATTATTGAATTAGCGAGTCGACGTGTATAGCTCGGTATATAATACGCGTTCGAGAGATCGCGTCGTCGTCGATGGATCATCGGAGCGCATCAAAAGACGCAGTACACACACGAGTTTACACGATCGGAAACGATCGGGGGTCTGCCTTCAATTTTAATTTTGCCATCGAAGTTACAAAAAAGCCTTTAAGGCATACAAAGATATGCACGAGGAGAATCAAAGAAGAAATAAAAAAAAATAAAGAAAAAGAGGAAAAAAAAACGAGGAACGACAAGTCGTCGTGATCATCGTCGTCGTCGTCGGAGGAGCCGGAGATGTAAAATTTATGTACGCGCGGGGTCGAGCGCGGGGGGAACTAACCGACGATCAGGATCCGCGTCGCTCTTAAATGCTAATGAAATTACAAAGAGGCAGCAGCAGCAGCAGCAGCATAGCAGCTATGCTCTGCTCCGCTCCGCTCTCGTGCACCGCATACCTGTTTTCGATTTGTCAATAGAGAGAGGCGACTCGGCACCGAGCGGTATCGTCGTCGTCTGATTTGTGTTAACGCTTTGATTGGACGATGTCGGCGACGATGCCAATGTCAAATCCGAGCCTGGCTGCTGCTGGTCTAGTTTTCTCTTGTGATTGCAGAGTTTTGACGTTTCCTTGCCTTGGCTCGGGCTCCACGGCCTCGACGCTACCTGCAAAAACAGAAGCAGAAAAACGTAATTAAATAAACGCTGGTTAATTAATCATCGGACATATATTGAATTTACGTGTACGTATAGGCTCGTATTTCGAGAATTCAACAGGTGGACGCTAAAGTATCAAATTTAATTGTCGCTCCTTTGTTTTTTAACGATCGAATCATCATCATCGCATAAATCAGCTGCGTGCCTTTTTTCAACAGCTCGCAAACACTTGTCTATCCCCCCTAATCGTGACGTCATCGTAAAAAAAAAAAAAATAGAGGCGATGATTCGACTGCGCGATTGCAGAAAATCTGCAGCCGCCACTACCGCCGTCATCGCCTCCACCACCACCACCCGCCCATGCGCGCAACTATAAAGGCCGGGAGAGGATACAGTCGCGCGCTCAAATGTATCTATATCGCTTGTGCGCGCACGAGCCACCTGTAGTTCGCCGCGATATAGTATATAGTAGGTTGAGTCCGCAAGATCTCGCGCAGCTGCGCCCCGCGCGCCTGAAACGTGAAAGAGCAGCCCACGTGCTCTCTATGTCGCGCTCGCTCGCTCTCTGTCTGTGTGTATAGTATGTACACGCATAGGAGGCCCTATACCGCCGCTGGCTGGCTGACTGGCTGGCTGGCTGGTCTGCACAGATCGGCATGGTATATATAAAAAAAGGAGAGGAGAACCGCACACATTTCTCGAGACTCTTCGTCGTATAATTTTTTTTTTTTTTTTTTTTTATACCGACGAAAAAAAGATTTCGTTTAAAATCTCTCTCCCTACGTAGTCTGAGAATCAACCACATCATCGTCGTGTTCATTAACTTTGTATGAGGCACGCACGCATACAAGCGCGCGCGCGCGAGTTTAATAGCTAAAGGATTAGAGAAAACACTAACCAAAGCACTGAGTCCAGTGACATTCCTATCGCCACCGAACCGGCTGCTCCAATCCATCTGAAAATACAGGCTCATCTTCTCTGCGCTTCTCGCTTTTAGTAGATTAATTAGTAATCGGACTTTGTCACCGCAGGATACACTTAAGAACTACACCACACATGGCCACACACAAACACACTTATGAGGCTTATATTATACAAATATAAGATTGTAATTCCTTCTTTTTTAGTAGAAAAAACTACGATTCAATGATTAATCAAAACTAGGATAAAGCAACAAATTATCTACGCACAACACAAAAGAAAAATAATCGTGACAAAAAGTGAAGAAATAAAAAATAATGATAGATAAATAGCCACAGTTGAAGCACACAAATCGCCGTGACTATATTGATATTCAACGATAAAAATTAGTGTGAATGAGTATAATTGTCGGTGCAATGTTAACTAACTACTTCGTTTGTTTTCTAACTGTGTTTATTGTTTATTTAACGCGTTTAAAAGACATTAGCGTTACTCATGGCAGAAAAAACACGACCGCACGCGGGCACGCGCCCTCGCACACTAAACTCTCTCTGTGACTGCGTCGGCCCTTTTCGCCAGCAGCAACAGCAGAGCAGCAGCAGCAGCAGCGGCATTGCAAGTCGAGAGAAGTTTTAGGTGAGGGTTTGCGCGTTCTCTCTCTCGCTCTTTCTCTTTCGCTTTACCACGTGCTTTCGTCCCCACCAATGGCCTTTTTTTACGCCGAGAGGTGGGATTCTGCTCTCTGTTGCTGCTTTGTTGTCATCATCTCTGTGTATAATATAGTGGGGCTGCGGATGCTACACTATATGCTTTCGGTGGGTATACATGTAGGTATATATACGTGTGCGTGCATGTATTTCAATAGCTATGGCATTCATTCACTTAAGCGCAGGGAGAGAAATGCATTGTAGTACACGCGCGCGCAGGGCATGAGAGCAAGCCAGACCAGACCAGACCAGACCAGACCAGAGAGACAGAGAGAGAATTTGCCGTGCGGATGATGGCTTTCGCGCGCGGACGACTTTTGTTTCTGTGCGATCAATTTGGAGCAGAGAGACAGAGACAGAGAAGATATGTCGAATATTTTCTTCATTATGCTGTGTGCGCTATTTGATATAAAATATAGATGTATAACAATGTATATAGTAGATGAGAGCGCACGCGTATACGTATTCCCGCACATTTTCGAGGTTGCGTGCGTGTGTGCGGCACCGATGACATTGATAAATGTATATTCACCGAGAGCCGCTACTACTATATCGGCACTTTATTAAGTGTAACAATTTCTAATCATTTCGTTCTTCTTTTTGCCGCATCCGTATGCGTCCCGTGCCGCCGCGCGCGCCGAGGAATTTTAGCTTGTGTTCCGCAGCGCGCGCCCTGCGTGATCCTCCTCTCAATTCATCATATTTCAAATTTATATACATACACCAGCAGCCGCAGCTATAATACACTGCTGGTGTACTACTCTCTCTCTCTTTATCTGGAACGCACTTGGAGCGTTTAATTAAAATTGGAAAATAAAGCACCCAAGGTATATGCAGAAAGAGAAAGAGAGAACTTTGTATAGAGCCAAGCTGCAAAGGCGAAGAAATGTGGCGACTTGAAAGAAAGGATATCACGCATGATAAGTTTCGAATCAAAAGGCAGCCTCTTGCGCTCGCTTTCGCGCACATTTCACGGCACAAAACACATTCCGATTGCCATTGTCGAATGTATGCGTAGGTATAAAATGCGAAACTCATAAGCTCGCGCTGCTGGGGTGATGGTGGTGGTGGTGGTGGTGAAAAAAGGGAAAGAACGAGAGAGAGTAAAAGTATACACTCACGTCAAACACAGGCGAAATAGTCGCGTGCGAAAAAACGCTAGCAATTAGCAAGTAAATAGACTTATAAAGCTCTCGGGTATTCAAAATCCATTCTGAATAGAGAAGAGGGGGGGTTGTGTTGGTTACAAGGTCCACGCGCCCGCGCGAGCGAACGTCAATTGTCTATTGTGCGACGAGCCTACAAAGAAAACTCCTTGTGCTTGCGAGAGAGTAGTAGTAGCAGTATAATATGATATTGAAACAAATATATCCTTTCGCAGAGAGAGAAAGCCGATATTATATCCCTTCCGCTCCTTTTACTCTCGCATATTATCGCGTGCGCGCGCGCGCGTGCCAGCCAAGTTTCTGCTTTTTACGAGTGTCTGCGTCCTATTCACCGGGATATTTTGCGGCAGGATCGTTCCCTCTCTCTCTCCCTCGTTGATTCGTTTAGCTTCTGTCTTTGTGTCTTCTCGTTGAAATTGAGCATATCGAAAGTTAAAATTATATGTGTATAGGCATCGACGTGTGCAGTATAGGGATCTCCATCTACTGTACATAAAGCGAAGCGAAACTTAACCGGTTGGCTGGATGTGGAAAAAAATTTATGGCTTCCTTTTGTGTGTTTTCGCGCGCGGGCGCGTGCATAATATAAGCGACCGGCGCTACACGATCCTGGTATATACAGTAAATAATTAATATATAACACGTGCTCGAGCGCGTAATAAAAGCTCGGCACGCACGTAGCGGTGGAAAAAGTAAAACGCGAAAGTCACGAGAGATTTTCTACGAGGAGACGCAACGCATTGTATACGTATACCTACTAAACTAAACGTGCACCTAATCGATGTCGTCGCTGCTTTCATGTCCTGGGCCTAAATGGCGTACGAAATGCGGCGCGCTGCACCTATTTTTCGTGCGGTTTTTTTTCTCGACAAAGTTGCCGGGACCGGGGACACATATTACGGGCACAAAAAGGACACAAGGCGAACTTTTATACATACGGAAACTTACGTAATGATATATCTCGTTGACTGCGACTGCTGTTGCGCATTATGTGATGTATTATATACACGAAGACGTTGGATCTTTTTTTATTATTTGCCTCTTTTTCTCCGAGTCAACGGACTAGAAAATCGCCATTCGACTCGGCTCTGCGCGAAATGCCAAAAATTCCCTCTCGACTATTATGTAAAATCCGCATGCGACAATACGATCGACAAAGGGATGAACTCGGTCTCAGCTTGGACTCGCTGCGACGTGATTCACGTGGACCGTATATGATGCTTGATAAGTACACGAGTATACAAAGCCACTAGATGTACTTACATAATGACAGTATATATGTACACGTGTGCATTGGCGCGCACACAATGGCGTTCACATAATAACATTCATTCCGAATTTTCTTTCGCCGCGATGTAAATTTTCGTCCAAGATTTGTGTATATAAATCCGCAATTGAGATTCTCGAGTGCGCGCTACATTACGGGTACGTATAAGCACGATCGCTGCTGATCGTCTCGGGTAAAACTGCTCGTGCTTTTATACGCTCGCGCGCCGTAAGGGATGATACCTCGAGTCGAGCCTATAGACTATACACGTGTACGTACAAGCGAATTTATTGTCCAGTAAACTAGCTGCTATACGTAGATGCTACGAACACGGGTCCATTATGCGCGTTATAGGTGTATACGTGGATATATACGTATACAGCGACGTTTAAGTAAGATAACAAACTCTCCGGCATTGGCTTTGCCACGCAGCAGCGCAAGGGGATAATTTTCTACGCCGAGCTGTGTAGTGCGCGATTGCGTATTATACTGTACTACTTACACTGTATGTATACACACTTATTCGCATACGCTTCACTTGTATAGGATACGTACCACGCGCGGGCGGTTATGAGCGCGAAATTCTTGCCCTGGTACTACTACTACGGAAGAATCTCGAGAGTTACATGCCTATGCGTATATATACAGGCCATTAACGTGGAAAAGTGAGATATATCGCGTTCATGCGAGAGCGCAGCGTAAATACTTGCGGTCGCCGCGCGTATCTCGCCAGGTTTATATAGTACCTATATTCGCGCGCGCGCGCAGCAGCAAGCCAACAATTATAAAAGGCCAAGAGAGTTTGATTTACTTTTTCCCCTTCGGCCCGTAAATCATCGCTCGTAATGTCCGTGTGTTTGTAAAGATCTCGAGAAGAAGAAGAACGAAAGAGAGAGAGAGAGAGAGAAATCGACAAAAGTTAATTGGACCTCTCGATCTTCCGATATT